CTTATCTCCAGTTTCTTCTCCAGACAGAACAGTTGCTACTACTCCAGATTTGACAAAGATGAGGCAGGTATTTATTTTAATCCCTGAAAAGACTGTTCAATAATAAGAGCAGAGAAAATGACGGACTTTTTTTTTTTTATTTTTTTTTGAGAAGGAGCCTGGACTCATTCTACCCTTTTCTGAACAACAGTTTTCTATTTTCACAAATTTAGTAGAATTTCTCCATTTGATTGGAGGCTTCATTACATGCCCTATATTTAGAGAAACCAAAGTGCTCCAGTAAGCCAATACAACAACTTCTAAGAATATTTGTTTCTTCTCAAATTTAAAGGATTGTGTGTGACAGAATGAAACAGAGCTCACAACCATGGGACTTATTTTTGGTTTTCAATTTATTATTTTACTTTTTGTCTACCATAGACTCATTGAATTTCACCTGCTATAATTTCCTTTTTCCTTTTCATGCTTCCCAACCCCATTTAAAAATTTACTATTATGATTTTATTTTGTCCAGTTTTATTGTTTCTTTTGTGATTTGCATTCATTCTCTCTTTGTTCCCCTTGTTATCGTCATTTCCATTCTGCATTCTCATCTTCAAATTTCCTTTTTAGTATCCTTTAGTATCCTTTTAGGTATCACTTTCACTTTTTCTCAGTCTTCTTGTGTCTAATCTATAATCCCCTTTTATCTCCTCTATTTTTAATTCTCTTTACTAAGAGTATGATTGCATTTCATGTGCCCCAACCTGTTCTCCTTTCTCTTCTCCCTCATCTCAGTACTTTCATATTTATTTGTCCAGTGCTCCTTCCTCATTTGTCTAAATCTACCTAGTGATGTAACTGCCATCCTGCCAGATGTGTCAGTGACAAATCTGTGGACTTGACACCTGGACCATATCTTCATTTAATATTGGACTGTTCCTAAAATATTCTGCAAATGAAAACAAAGATGGTAACAGGTAAAAAATGATGAAAAATTTGTGGTATCTTATTTTGATTTTCATACCTGTTTTTGCAAGAGGTTAGACAAGACATTGGAACAATCTATGTAAGACTAAACACTGGGATTTGTGAGCCTCACAAGCCCATAGCAACCCACTTGGTTACTTTCTATAGGATGTCAATATATTGTTCAAAGCTGACATTTCAAGTCACATCCACAGAGCCTTTATGGATTGCAGTTAAAACTTAACCTATTTGTCCTAGCAGTGAACAGTTTACTAGGCCAGCAGTACAGGACCCAACTGGTTTCGCTCTTCTTGAAATATAAGCTGTAGGTAATGGCCTAGGAGGCTCAGGAGCAGCTACAGTTTCAGTAATTTTCACAGTGTGTCTAGTCTTCCTTGGTACTTTTCTTGGTTCCCTTTGGATGTGATTATGTGAATACCACATACTGTAGTTAGAGCTTCGGAAAGTTATCACAATAACCTAACCAGCTTCTACTACCTCAAATTTCATATTGAGGAGCCTTTCCTTCTCATATTTTGCATATTTTTCAATATATTTGACACTACAAAATCTCAGAAAATGATCCCTTTCTCACCTGTTCTAGAAAACTACAACAGCTGAAATACAGAACAGCACAAATTTTGCTAAAAAGGACAATAATTTCTAATTCTTACTTTTACGTCTTTGTTCTGTTTTTTTTTTTTTTTGTAGTGAATTTAATAAATCTAAAATATACAAATAATACAGAGCTTAAATTACCTCTGTTGGTTTATTTGTATATCAGTCATATGAAACCACATATGTTTTCCATAAACTTATCTATTGAAAGTCAAGTCCATGAGAGGAATTTATGAACCCACTCGCACTCAATCAACTGCGTATTTATCTGTTCTTCAAGAACACTTTTTAAGAGCATGCTCTTTCTCAGCCCTTTCTGTGTTATGCTTGTCACCAGAGCCTTATCCACCAACATCATTATGCTTTTGATGAAAAGCCCCAAGTTTCCAATCTCTACCAAAATCTGAAATGAATCAAGGTTCAAACACTTATCAGTTTTATGCATATTTCACAGAACTTAAACTTGCAGCCATCTTCCTCTCCTAGAAAGAAGTCTGTACCTACATCTTTCCAGCTATGTAGTTATGAAAATGCATCTAGAGTTGCACAGAATATGAAGGAAAAATCTGAAGCAAATGACAATTCTAATGCATTTGGTGATGGTGCAATGGTCAGAGAAGATGCCAGTGATGACAGTTGAACGTCCCTTTGCCGTCCCAGCCCCCTTCATATATTCTCAGGCATAGGATGACAAAGGGAAGTCCACGGGTCACATGAACAGATACTGTCGACATATTACCCTGTCCAAATTGCCTTCTCTACCCAATCATTCTACTTAATCAATTCCTTACTTGGAGGTAACTTTTTCTTGTAGGCCTAGCAAAACTCAACTATATCCACTAACACCATAAATAAGAAAGGTTAAATACAAGGAACAAAGGAACCAATGCCTGTGATCTGTCTGTTTTCAAAGAGCATACTGTAGAGGCAGAGCAAACCTTCAGCACCAAACAGCATGTTTAAATTAAGAACATAGCAGATTGATAGTGAACAGTAATATTCTGCATGAAATCCTACAAGGGGAAGGGGAAGAGGAAGGGGAAGAGGGAAGGGTGAAGGGGGAAGGAGAGGGGGAAGGGGAGGGAAGGGAAGGGAGGGAAAGGAATGGAAAGGAAAAGCTTATTCTGCATGAATCTTGAATGTTTCCTTTTGATATCCAAATAGTTTTAGAAAAGTTCATCTTACTTTCAGTATTTCTTACTACAAAATGACGCACTTCAAAACCATGAATTTGAGACATCTTGTGGCTTACTGTGAGGTTGCTGGTGTGTGTTAAAATAGTCTTCACTTGTGGAAATAAGGAAGACCTGCCTTGGACATTGAACCATGAAACTGACCTCTAGCTAAATGCACAATGGAGTGACTTTGTCCTGAGCCGGCAGACTCAGACTGACCCACAAATACAACTGTACTCTCTGTTTGCCTGGAAAGCATTTTTTAAGTCCTGAATATTTGCTGTGGACAAAATAGGAGCTATGGGAGCTGTAAAAGCTAAAAAGATGAAGTGGAATCAGAATATCAATGAAATCTATGCTCTAGTCTTCACAGGGGGGCATAAGGCAAGTTTTTTATCATTATTATTTAATAGTACACTCATTCAGGAAATTAGACACTGCTGAATGACAGACAGTGATGCCATATTAGGAACAAAACTAGCTGGGTCTTTCAGAATTATATGGCATACCAAATGATCTGACTTAATCTTAAATTTTATAAAAGAGATTGCCACTGTCCTAATCTATTTGAAGGGAATACAGTTTTGTTTGTCTTTAATATGTAAGCACAAGACTGAAATTTTCCTTTGTGAATAGTGTGTGATCCCTAATATTCAGAAGAGAGAACTGCACTGGAGAAAGACAGCTGAAGCAAAGGAATGTAAATAAGACAAAATAACAAGCCTATCGTGTAGAAGTCAGGCAGGCTTAAAAATAAGAATAAAATCTGCTTTCAGCACTATTGTCCAGGGATAGGGGGTGAAATAAGAAGTTACCAACTGTGTATTTGGTTTTCTTGCCCTCTGCTCCTTTGTTTGGTGATTAACTAAAAATTGTACCTTTTCCCAGCTCTCCAGCAAACAAAAGTCTGATGCTGTCAGTATTCTTCCCCACCCCATATGCTTACTAGTGGAAAATGGGAATGACACACATGCATGGCCACACACACTCCTGTCTGGATGAAGATGCCCTTTACAGCAGTGCCTCTACATAGAGAGGGTGAAGGACCTCCATTGCTCTGATAGAAAAGAGGGTAAGGAAAGGCATCTGAAAGTGACCATCTGTTTGGCTGACCCAACAAGACATGTGGTAACTACTCTCATCCATATGGTCACCTTTCTATTAACTATGGGCTGACCAGGACTCAGTCACCTTCTTATAAAACAAAGGAAAACAAAATGTGGCAGGCACATTCCAGAACCAACATAACTGAACCAAGACATATGAATCTTACCAGCAACCTTGCTTCTTAACAGCTTTCTCACATAAGTATTTTGAAGAAGTGTTGTGAGACCAAAGTGGTTTTAGTTTATAAGAAAGAGATTTTGAAGGAAGAGGTTAAATGAAGATAGAGTGCCTCAGAGAAAAGCGAAGAGAGAAGGAAAACAGATACTCCTGGTAGGTGAGGGGAGGATGATGCAGACAGAAACCAGAGAAGAGAAATCCTTCATTTTTTGTAGGTGTTTGGAGTGGACAGGCAAGAATTTGACTTGAACCATCAAAGTTTGAAGGTTCATCCATCAACTACTTTTCAGCAGATAAGCCTCTTGTCCAAAACTGAATTATACTAAATCTCTCTAAAGAAATTTATTTTTTAGAATAAAGATTTCTCCAACATGACATTGTGCTGTAAACTGCAAAATCTCACATACTTCTTATAAATGTTCTCAAAATGATTATTATTTCTGACACTGCTTCCTACAGTTTGAGTACTTCATATATGCCATTTTAAAACGTGAACTTTTGTTGCTGGTCAACCTAGGATTAGATCATACTATCTCAAACTGCAGGATTTTATATAACTCTACACACTTCAACCACCTCCCACCCAATCTGCAAAGTACCATAAAAAGCTCTTCCTTACTTTTTGCCACCCTTTTCTCTACGTTTACTAATTCCACTCTTTACAAAGTGTAGGGAACAGAACTGTATAATGTTTTAAGGAGTTGGGGGGTAGCAAAGACCTAAGCTAAACCTGAAGAGCCTTGACAAACACTGTTTGAAACTTACTGGAAACAAAATCAGCTATCTGTGCTGTGCCCAGACACTAAAATAAAATTTTACTATCTTTGTTCAGCACTATTTGCTTTTGTTAGCTCATGCTCACCACTTAAGACAGTAGAACTACTCCCCAAAATACACAGACATTATTGCTTATTTAAACTCATAGTGTCTTTGATATAATTGCAATTATAGAAGAGTACAAACAATGTTACTCACTCGTATTTATCTTCTGAAGTGAAATGTGCTTTTCCAGCTGTCTGCGAAGTTTCACCTCAGCTCCATATTTACCAGTAGTCCCATTGTCAGCCAAAATAAAATGAGAATGCATACTGTTGAGCACTGTCAACTTACTCATGGGGTTGGACATTGTCTGGTATGGCCGGACCACCTGCATTTTAGAGACAGAGGAGAAGAAAATGTACTAAACAGAAAAGACTCTCTGTACTAAACTGATTATGAGATGCCAGCTGACAAGATGATACAAAAAAAAAAAAAAATTGCTTTAAGTACTGCACTCAAGCACAGCTGTCTTCTATGTGTAAAGTAGAAAATAACCTTAGTATTTAGACCAGTGTGGCCACATCCTGTAAACACTGGCCTTTTGGATGCAGACACTAGTTAAAGGGTTTTCCATAGTTATCTGTTTCAGTACCATCGACGACCACTGTTTCAGTGTCAAGTCAGGCTAACAGTCAGTCCTCCAAAGGTCTGTGTAACTGCACACACATTGTACATACTGTCTTTCAGTAGTGTTACCATAAATCCTCACCTCATCTGACTGAAATCTTTGATTCTTCCTTCACAAACCCTACTGAGCACAATGTCCCCTGTTCTAGTCCATTCAGAGCCATCAACACAGGAGGTCCTTTGCATACACACCAACAGAGGTGTCTTGGAAGTTCTTGGAGAGATGTACACACAGTATTATGCCAAATCTTCAATTTCCTTGGGAAAAACTACTGGCCCATTTAAGAATGGTATAGTACAAAGGCAGTTGCTGGCATTCACAACAGCTTTAGAAAGTTTCATTCAGTAGAAAATTTGCTACACTTCCTTTAATTTATTTTCATCATGAGAAACTCTTCTACCAGCAGTACCTTGTTGCCTCCAGACAGGCAAAATAATAGCACTGAGCCTCATTTGGCTGTTAGCTATTATAGTGGGTATCCCATGACATAAGGAAGATTAACCACATTGATGTCGCAAAAGCACTGGTGCCATGTTGAGGGATCCTGGCTGATTATTCAAAGACATTTGCTAGAAATGCATTGTTTATGTATGGCTTGTCTTTTCAGAAAGATGTAACTCTGAAAATCTGTAAAATAAAGTCCCAGCTGAAGAAACCATAAAGTGACTTGTCCCAAAACTCAGCTGGGCTGTACTTCATCTGCAAGGAATTTTTTTCACAGCTCTGGCATGGTTCATTTTTCAAATCTAACAAAATTTGTGCTTTTTAGTGCACAAGTATACGCTTAAGCTATCAGCCTATCCACTTTGTTTCTAAGCCTTTCTCCCTTTTTTTAAACTGTGACACAATACTTTATAAATAATATGTGCTAGTAATTTTTTGGCAAGAGTTCTTGCTCTTTATTATTTTCACTTGCGAATGCTTGAAGCACTTTGGTCAGCTCTTGAATGGCAAGGGGAAACCCACAGACTTCTTTGCTGTTATAAACTGTCACACAGACGGTAAGTACTCTATAAGTTGTTGATCCTGCAAAAAGGAGGAAATAGTTCTGAAAAGACCAAGAGGCAGATGGCTAACAGCAAGGCAGTGCACTCCACTGTGAGAACAGGTGATAGCCTTGGCTCAAGTTTCTTTTATCCTGTTTCTTTTGGTGCCCCATTCATAAAACATTTATTTTGCAGGCATATATAGCTTAGCAAATATCAATATGTAGCTGGAACATGTTCATTAACTAGCTTCTGAAGATGCAGAAATCATGTGTCCTGTGCCACAGTCAGAAAAACAGGCTCTTTCACACATGCCTAGAAACCAAATAAAATCAAACTAAAACAGTTACAGATTTTTTGAACTAATACCTGCCTTATCTCTCAATAATATAATGGGCAGAGGTCATCATGATCTAATAGAAGAGGAATGACCTGAGTTGCTCGTTCATTGTATGATTACAAGCTGCTGCGTATGCAATCGTACTGACAGTTTCTGGTTTGTGCCCAAGAGCCACAGCTCAAAGCTTTGTAATAGTGACAGCTTGATCTGCAGTTCTTTGGTGCTGCAGCACCAAAGACTCCACACACTGACTTAGAAAAGCTTAGAAGGCTATGCTTTGGTTCTGTATCTGCTGTTTAGCTACAAGGTGAATCTTAATAAATGCTATAGATGTGAAAATGAAAATACAATTATTTTCAATTGAACTGTTCACAGCATGCACAATTCAACAGCTGAAATACATTTTTTTAAATAACAAATTTCACAAACCACACTGTCAGACTGTTTTCCTGATAACAGGATAAGCAAAATCCTCAGGAAGGCAAGAAAATCCCAGGCTTTGATGCTGTTTCATTGAGGGGAATTACTTTTCCACAACAGTCAGCAGATTTTCAACTTCTCACTCTTGCAGTTCCTATTCCTTTGTTCTTTTCAATCCCTTACAATTTACAGGTAAGGTTAAAGGTTGGGAAAACTTTGACTTTAATGTGCTCTCATCCTCCTTCCGCACTGAGAACAGGGAATAATGTCCCCTGGCATGCTTCTCTGCAGAGTTGAAAGGCAGCATTTGTGCTCAAGACAACCCCTCTAAATATAGGTTAATGAATGTGACAGCAGCCATGCTTTGAAGCAGGGAAGCTGTTGTTCAAATTAAGCCTTCTTCACAGCCTTACTGTTCTGGGGTACACCAGGGAATAGAATAGTTCTTGGTTTAATTTAGAGGATCCTGGAAGCATGATGGTCCAAATTCCCCGTGTATGCTACAAATATGCTAGTCCTCAGCTTTGCCCCAGGTATGCTTCCTACCTTGCAGTTTGCAATGAGAGAGCTGAATTTCTTTTCATCACAGCTTTCCTTATTGTAATTATTTCCTGACCCAGCCTGGAAGGGGGCACTGATACTTTGACACTGGATAAAACGTAAAGTGAAAAAAACCTGTGAACTATTTATGATTATTTGTAATCTTTTGTTTTCTTTTTTTCCCAGCAATTTGATTTGGTCTTAATCTTTAATCTTTCTGGAAGGAATTGAAAAGTAGCTACCAAAATCAAGTCAAAATTGGTAACAGCAAATCCAGTGACAATAATATATGTATGTACATATGTATATATAATATTATATACAAGTAATATATACTTACTGATTACTTGAGGACTAAATAGACCCTGAAAAGAAAGATGTACATGCTATAAAGACTCTAAAGTGCACTCTTTTAAAAGGAAGAATGGCTGTGTATGTTGGGAGAAACTTGTTTATAATCCAAGTTTTCTACAAGACTGAGCAAGCTATCTTACTCTCTCAGCTCTTTTATCAGAAAATTGGAAGTAAAGTAACTAACTACCTTTCCCTTGTGTGCTTTGTTTTTAAATTAGAATCTAAGTGTGTTGAGAGGAGCACTATTTTCTGCTATATTGCTTTTACAGTAGGGGAGTAAGATGGGTCTCTTTAGGGATCTTTAACCATCATAATATAACAAATGGCAGACAACAATAATATTTTGCGTAGCTCAGCCAGTACTCTTTATGGCTCTGAGGAAAGCCCTTAGGATTCCCAAGGCCTGAGTGATTCGGATGGACTGGTAAATCACAGAATCATAGAATAGTTAGGGTTGGAAAGGACCTTAAGATCATCAAGTTCCAACCCCCCTGCCATGGGCAGGGACACCTCGCTCTAAACCATATTACCCAAGGCCTCGTCCAACCTGGCCTTGAACACTGCCAGGGATGGAGCATTCACAACCTCCTTGGGCAACCTATTCCAGTGCCTCACCACCCTAACAGGAAAGAATTTCCTCCTTACATCCAATCTAAATTTCCCCTGTTTAAGTTTTAACCCATTACCCCTTGTCCTACCACTACAGTCCCTAATGAAGAGTCCCTCCCCAGCATCCCTCTAGGCCCCCTTCAGATACTGGAAGGCTGCTATGAGGTCTCCACGCAGCCTTCTTTTCTCCAGGCTGAACAGCCCCAACTTTCGCAGCCTGTCTTCATATGGGAGGTGCTCCAGTCCCCTGATCATCCTCCTGGCCCTCCTCTGGACTTGTTCCAACAGAATACAGAAAACAATGTAACAGAACTCAGCTATGACTTCAAAATCCATACAGGCAAGACAAGGGCTGGTGCATTGGCAGAAGCACAGCTCTGCTGAGCATGCCTGACTCGCCATGAGATGCAGGGAGGCAACATGCACTGGGTCACGTGCAACAGCAATAACTCCCCCCTCTTCTTCTCCCTACCCAAATCCCATGACTAAGACAATTTTCTGTATATGCCTGCTGCTGGAAGGGTATGTTTTGACAACTTCACTTTTGATCATAATTTAACTAGACGTAGTGCATATAGGCATAAAGCCACACTGATGCTGGGGTGACAAGCCTTTTACTATTGGTTGACTTTTCCCCCCACCCTTCATAATCCTTTGTGGTCTTTGTTTCTTGCTTAATGATGATTCATTTTACATGCTTTGGTACTATTTATATTTCCCCTTCTTGGTTCATTTCACAGCATTCACCTCTAATGAGCCAGTCAATACAGTACACTTTGATTTTTAAAAAGCTTTCAAAAAGCTTCCTCACCAAACGTTTCTGAAGAAAATGCACACACAGGATAAGAGGGAAAGTCTTTTGAGGTGTTAGTATCTGGGGAAAACTGAGGGGAAGGGAGAGAAAACATTAAGGAGGAAAAAATAATTTTTTTGCAAAGACTGTTACTATGAAGATTCAGTGACACAAGTAGTCTACCTCAAGCTGCTTCACGTTCTGTTCAAAAGAGTTGCAAGAGATTCCAGGTTAAGAAGAGTGTGTAAAGCTATGAACTATGAAGAGTTAAAGAAAGTCTTCATAAAGCAGCCTGAGTAGGCTATAAAATGGAAAAGGAAATTTAATACTGGTAAGCATAAAGTGGTATCATTACATGTGCATTAAAGATGAATAAAACTAGAAGTGCTTCAGCATTACATCATGCTATTGATCAATCATTTTATGAAACTAATTGGGGCCAGGAGGCTTGGTGGAAAAACTTCAATTTTGTCTATCACAGATACATTTCAGAACTATTTAGAGATGAACCTGTAATTGTAATGCTACTGATATAATTGTGGCTGCCTTAATGGAAGACTTTATCCAAAGTTGTTTTCCTTATGCTTTTTTAAACTTTTGTCACTTTCTGTTTGATGAGCAAGTTTGCATTCAACTTCTTGGCTTCCTGTTAAATTGGAAGGATATTTAAAGGAAAAAGTGTCCTAATGAAACAAGAAATTGGGGGTGGGGGGAGAGGGCCACTCCATTTGGATGGAACAGCTGAGAAACTGGTTTCTTAATTAATTTCTTTCTGTAAGAGAGCTCCTTTAACAGGTGGTGACTAGCTGTGAACAGAGGGTGCTAGTTTTCGAACAGGTGGAACTAACTAATGGAGCAATTAAAATGTCGCAAAATTCACAACTAATTTGAGGTACTTGCTTGCCTTCTTTCTTCCTGCAAAGCTTCCAGAAGTCTATGCATAGTCAGTAAAGACTACTTATTTGAAACTGATGTGTACATTATACTTACATAACAAGACACACCTCATCTTTGTGGTTAGCTATTTCTGCGGGTCATTTTTTTGCACTGCATCTTAGATGGGTTTATTAATGACTCAGAACTGTTGCAAAGTCCTGTGTGTATATATTGGTAATCCTATTATACATGCGCTGGTGGTATTAAGAGTAGAAAACCCCATGCTGATACAATTCCCTCTAATGGCTGTACTTTAACAGTGAATTGCAATGAATTCCAGTTGGATCAATTTCTTCATACTCATTGTAATTCCTTCTGACATAACTGATAATTGAATGTTCTTCACCTCCCAAGCTTGCTAATGGATGAACATCCTGAGAAGAATGCTGTAGTGCAATGTAGACAAGAAAAACATTCATTATGAATGAAGCAGAATGAAGCCTACATCTCTTCTCCACTCAAAGTTACCCCACTGGTTCTCAGGAAGATTGTTTGTGAATTAGCTAGAGGTGAGGGTTAAAAAAGAGGGCTCATAGAAGCTTTAGGTAACATATAACCAGCATAAGTAAACTGCACATGTACTTAAAATAGGAGAGGTTAATCTTTATGAGGGATCATATAGGTTTAAAAAGAACACATTATGGTACTATTTCAAAATTAATCAGACTTTAAGCTTTGCAATCAGTGTTTCCTTAGGCACTTTTCAGGGTCACAGTGTTCTAAGAATGAAACTTCAATGTATTTTCAATGAATTTTTTAACAAATTTTCTTTATAATTTAGTTTTAGCAACTGTACATTGTGGGATTTTTTACTGTTCCTATGTCAAAATGGGTATCAACCATAATGGAAAGCCTGTGTACATACTGATTTTTTGCTGCAGACTTAATTCTATGTGAGACTAAGTGAGGGATGGAGAGGAGAGGAAAAACAACTGGAAGACTTGGGGTGATCTATGTCCATAGAGGGCTTACATCTTTGCCAATCAGATCCTCTTGATTTTCCACAATCCCCCAGGGAGCGATACCAATGGTGCAGATCTTCCCTCTAGATTTTGAGGCATGATCTTTCAGTGCATCTCCAACATGCCGAATGACTCCTGGGGAAGAAACAGCATAAAGCAAAAATCCATAATTACATCCTTTTTGTTGATTATAGTATGGATTTAGTACAGAATTCTTTTTTAGGAAACACCTGTGCATACACTTACAATTAAGAAAAACCATGAATATATTCCTGTTGATTATTATTACTGTAATATTATAAGTCTATTTTACCTAATCTAAAAAATACTGAAAGAAGTAGCAAGAAAAAATTGCACAGCTCTAGAAACAGGAATGGAAATGTTGACACCTGACCATAACCTGTTTATCTGCACTTGTCTTCACAAATATATATGCACATGTAAGCACTTGCATCCTTCCCAAACACAGAAAGAAGCACAAGAATTACACCCTCCATCCCCCCTGCAGCAAAGAAAAAAATAAAAGTATGGCACATAAATGTTCCCTTCTGTCTGACTAAGGGACGTAAATGTGAAAACATCATTACACTACCCTGTGGTGAGCTAGTCTACCATTCTTTCCAAACAGTCACCTGACATAGCTTCCAGCAGAGTATTAGAAGATGCCTGAGGATCAGTGAGAAAACAAAAATTAGCACAGAAAGAATGACTGTGCCAGCTCTTTTCCAAGTGCTTTCTGATAATGCTTCTTGTATGCTTTAGGACATCTTTGTCACTGTTTCAGTGGCATCTCTTTGCAGCAGACAGGTGTCACTCCCCCTTGATTTTCATAAAATACTTTTTTTTTTAGCTGTGTATCAATAACTACTTTTGTGATGTGGCCGCACTGGAACAAAACTGTGGATTGGCTGCAGATGTTATCTGTAACTCAGTTCTGTGTTTGCTTCTTGTTCAGTGTCCACACTTTCAAGATGACTAGATTGGAATTAACAACAGTCACACAATAGATGTGTTTTCAGCTGGAGTTTTTCTGAACTGTAAATGAACCATGTAAGAAAAACAACTTAACCTTTAAGTCCAGGAGCCTAATTTCCTTCTTGTGGTGGAAAGGTAAGAAAAAAAAACCCAACCAAATATGTACTTGCAATCGAGTATGAATTAATATACGATCTAGCAACCCAAAGGATTCAAAGCAGAAAATTTCCTTTGACTACGAAAACATTCTGCAGCTTAGAATAATCAGCTTTCTGCCTGACATGAATATTCAGAACAATTTGTTTAAGTTATTGAACAGTCATGGTTATAGCCACGTATGCACCACTCCTATCAGATCATTGATTCTCAGTCCAACAGCAGTATTTCAGAATTTTTCAGTTATACTTTTCCTTAAAAGAAATCTGATTTAAAAATTCATCATCAACAGAAAAGCCTGTACTCAGAACTTCCCAATTTGTGCGATTTCACATAGAGTTAAAACACTTAATTTTCACCTACAGAGTTTGAAAACCTAGCCCCAGAGCAATAAACTGCTATCCTCCAGAAATCAAAACCATCAATGAGGTATCACTGGTGATGCAGAAGTGCTTCTGGAACTGTATGTTTTTAAAATGACACTCAGCAACTTGAGCTTTATTGTTTTATTTAGGTAATTTTGATTACAGGGAAAAAAATCCTTTACAGCTGTAAATATGTGGACTTCCCTGGTTCATTCGTATTGTTTTGTCATTTGCAACTATGAGGATATGAGGAATGGTATGAAGCAGATGTGCATTTGCCAAATGCACATGTTACAGTCAGCCCTTGTTTACAGTATTTCTGTAGTTTGATTCCTACAGTTCCTATGGTAATCCACTGCAAGAAGTGTACATTACCTACAGTTTCCTAACCTGCTTTTAACTTAAAATTTATATCTGCCATCTTCAGTACACTACTATATCAACTAAGGTAACTATTAACATCACAGTATACAGGTCAACATTTAACCTGCTTTTCTTCCTTGTTCTGCAGAGATGTGGGGGATATCCTATATATGTGACAGTCCAGAAGCTATGCCTTTTTTTTTTCCTGCTATTTATACTGGTACTGCGATAAAACTGAATATAGTTTTGTCATGGTTTAAGCCCAGCCGGTGAATCAGAACCACACAGCCATTCACTCACTTCCCCCTTTTCCCCCCCCTGCTCCCAGCAGGATGGGGAGGAGAATCAAAAGAATGTCAGTCCCACAGATCAAAACAGTCCGATAACTAAAGTATAATATAAAACTACTACTACTACCACCAATAATAATGAGAAAAAACAAGGGGAGAGAATATAAAACTAAAAAGGGAAAAATACCCCTAAACATAAGTGATGCACAATACAGTTGCTCAACACCTACTGACTGATACCCAGCCTGACCCAAGAGTGATCTGGGCCTTCCCGGTAATCCCCCCTGTTTATACACTGGGCATGACACGCTGTGGTATGGAACACCCCTTCAGCTAGTTTGGGTCAGGTGTCCTGCCTCTGCTTCCTCACAGCTTCTTGTGCCCCTCCTCACTGGCAGAGCATAAGAGACTCAAAAGTCCTTGATCAGCATAACAGCTACTTAGCAACAGCTAAAACATCAGCGTTATCAGCGCTGTTCCCAGACTAAAGTCAAAACACAGCACTGCACCAGCTACTAGGAAGGAGAAAAATAACTGTTACAGCTGAACCAGGACAAGTTTTAAATTTGATGTGCTTTGGAAACTAAAAAGCCCAAGACTCCTATTAAGCACTCATATTCAAATATGTAGGGGGTTACCTAAAATGCACTAAATTTAATGTCTGATGGACTGATTACAGTATTTTCCATAGACAATAAGAAGATACAGTGTGTGTGATTAGTAAATTAATAAATTATAGCTTTGTTACTGCAGCAAATGAGAATAACATAAGAATCTACAAATACCTGTCCCAGCTCAAAACTTTTTGCTTTTATCTCTAGCAGAACTGTTTGACTTTCCCCTGTATCTGTCCTTCTTCCTGCCTCTTCCAGGGAGGGTAAATGGGAAGCCACTGCTCAACCTTTTCTATCTAGGGAACCATATTTTGCAGCTTTTTCCCAAAACCTTCATGGTTTCTCCCAGCAGAGCTGGGCCAGCTGCTATCTTGGGTCACTAGGACACCATCTAGGATGTTACAGATGTTCTTTTGAGTACAAATGCAAAGTTATTGTTCCTGCGGCAGGGGCATTAGAAAAAAAAAAAATAAAAATAGGTCAAGCTGTCTACAAGAAAGGAAAAAAAAAAGTAATACTTCACAATAAAATTTTCTACCACATCCACAACACAGAATCTTTCTTCTTTTCATGTTTCAGATCATCTTATAAGATAAAATAGAGGTATTTTCTGGATGAGTGTTTTCCATTTTATGTAATAAGAGCTCGACTTCAGTTTCTCATTAGTAGTTCCTCCCTGTAGCTTACTGTTGCAAAGTCTTCACTGGCAATATACTAATATAATTGCCTTACAGGAGGCTTTATTTTCAGCTCCCCAGTGTGTTTTCCATGCTTTAGCAAACCTTTTATTCTCTGGCAGTTCTCAGGCTAGTATGAACTTGACATTTTTCTTGTTTGCACATAGTACAGCCAACACTAATAAAGTAAAATACAGAATGGCTTCTTAACCTCACCAGTCCTGATTTTTTTCTGTGATGAACTCCTAGAAGCCACTCTGCTTTCATTTCAATGTTGCTGTTACCTGTGTTTACTCCTCCAGTAAATATCCATGCTCCGGTTGTCATAGCAGCCTTAATGAGGCCTTTTCCAAAGACTTGCTTGAGTTTTGGCTGAAGTTCAAAATTCTGAAGGCCCCCGTGCACAGAGATGAGAAGTTTAGGGAGCTCAAGCTGCCACTCTTTGGTCATCAGATGCAGAAGAAGGTCAGGCTTTGTGTCAAAAGACACACGTACATACTGCAGGAATAAGGGCAGTAGTGAGAGAGAAAGAAAGATTGGTTATACAAAGATGTATGCAAATGGATCACTGAAAAAAGGCAGCCTTTATGACAGAAGCACTAACTAATTGCTAACTTCATGATTTTTCAAAAGTTATGAAAGTAGGCAACTAGCAATCATGGAATACCTGCAATTCATATGCTGGACAGTTTTTCTTTACTTAGTCATTGACTGTTTCAATATGCTTAGCAATGCTTGAAAGATGTCTTTAACTTATGGATCCAAAAGCTGGAGCAAACTTTAAGTGACTGACCAAAGATGACCTATGTAATCAAGAGTCACAACCGTGCGTTCACTTGCATCTTATTTTCAAATTAACAAGTCAAACTCTCCAAAGGTAGGAAATAGCAGAAAAAAACTTGGTTGTTCAAGCACAAGTAAATTTAAACTGAGCAAGAGTTCTGAACAGGTACTTGTCAGATGAATGACTTAAGATTGGTTTGTATAGATTCATGAATTTGCCTAACAATGTACAGGACCAGAAAGTGCTATGGAACACATTTACACATTTGCAGCTCTTGGCTTTTCTCTGTACATCTGTAGCATTTTCTCCAAGGTAAATAATGCCCATCTGTATGATCTCAAGGATAACAACTGTCTTCAAAATTTCTACAACATCAGCGTGTCACATATACCTGTCTTCCTGACAAGCCTTTCTATCTGGTCTCTTTCTCCTGCTATTTCTGTTGCTGATGTATGGTTTCGCAAAGCTCATGACAGAACAGATGATATTTTTTTGAATTTTAATTACATAGCAGATATGGGCCATGGGAGGATAAAATTCTCTCTATAGCTGTTAAGATCTGGAAGGACCCTTTTAACTGAAAAAAATAGGTTACAGAAAGCCATTCATCTGTCAAGCTTCTGATTGAACCAATGCATATAGAGTTACTTCGGCAGTCCTTCCCTTGATGGGTTGTGAGCACAGCCACCAGGCAGATAACACAGGCATCTTTGCTTTCAGACAGAGAAATCCCTAGTTCTAGCTTATTTATTGTAACATGCCAGGCAGTTTAATATCCATATATATTATGTAATCATTTTGTCCCTCTTTAACACCATTAGTGTTTATTTCTTGCCAAGCGATTGTTATTTTTTAGTAAATCAAATGACAGTAAAGTGGACTCTTTTCTAGTTGAGTCAGAAATAAGGACCTGACTTTTCCAGAGGAAATTGCTGATAGGTTTCTTCCCAGGAATGTGTTGTTGCACTGTTAATAGCTGTTCTTAACATTTCTGGAAGCAGATGCCTGTTTGGGCAAAGAGTCACAGAGAAGCAAGGGAGGCACAGCCAGACTGCAAGCTGAGCAAGAACTTGGAAATGCAGTGAATCATTAATGTCCTCCGCAGCACCAAGGCAACTTTGTAACAGCTAATGGACAAAGAACATACAATATTCAGGTCTGGCAAGACCATACTGTAACCTTGAGCTTATATACACATGAACTGCATCCTCAGTAGTTATCCATTCAATTTTCTGCATGGAAGTTGAGAAAAAGCTTGCATGGCAGCTGATCCCACTGACCAGATGGTGAAGCTAACAATTTTGGTTATGATTGGATGGCTGTCAAAGTTTTAACACATTAGTGGAGTTGTCCGGAGACTGATTCTTACTCCTTTTGCCCTGCCCTTAGGAAGAGCTGAGGTTGCAAAGGGCAAACCCTTGTTACCACTGCAGGCATTAATAGGTAGATAACATCCTTTAGGGGGCTTACATGAAAACTTTGCTGGTCAAACTATGTGGATTACATTTTGGGATCATGGGTAACTTACTCTGATTCACAATAAAGACCAACTGCGAATTTTAAGATAATTGCAGTGAAATCATATTAATACTGGACATACAAATTTGATGAAAACAGAGGCTACTGCATCATCCAGGATGGTATTAAGATGCAAGGCACAAACGGCATCAGATGGGTATTATCTAATCCAGTCAGTGTTTCTTTTCATTCATTAGCACCATTTTACAACCCGGAACGTGTGACTTCCCTGACCCTACCTTCTTAAGCCTATGTATTAATTTTATTATCTACTAAGATGTCTGGATTTCAGTAACTAAAATCTATATAGTGAATCACAAAGTTAGAACTATTTTCTTACATTTATTTGAAATGTAGCCATCTTTAATTGCAAACAACTACTTGTTCTTTATACTGTCGGCAACCCCCCTCTATGCTTATAAGATTTAATTTTACTTTATAAACAGTAAATTTAAGCAAAAATAAATCTGAGAGCTCTTTTCATGGAGATTAAAGTTTAAATCATCATGGGTAAACCTTACTGTTTTAGAAGGGCAATGGCATCATTGGTTTTCCTCCTGTGCATACACCTCAATTTTTATGATGGTCTAATCCATTTTTTTGCTCTTATGCAGTCTATTTTCAGTTTGCTATGCTTGGGGTGACTCTTTTGCTGTTACTTAATATGTTAACTAGTAAGTACAAAATAATTCTTGTGTCATCGCTTTCAAAGTATGCATTAAATTAAAAAAAAACACTTCTAACACTTGTTTTATCCATATTAAAATTATTTTTTTCAATCTTGTGGCAGAATATGTGGTCTTTTCATTATTTTTTTTTAGAATATTAATGACTATTTCTGCAGTACCTGATTTCTTTCACTACAGCCTCCAGAGGCAGATTTAATATGTAAATGTAAATTTAAGCTAAACAACAGCTCTGGTATCCTGAAATTCCATGTCAGGTGTATTTGTCAGCTGTAGAAATGATCAGTTCTAATGACAAATGATTCAATCCCTTCTTTATGGGAGTGGTGCATGGCTAGGATGCCGGTCTTTAGTTGTTGTATGTCAGCAGAGCAGGGCAAGATAGGAAGCAAAAATACTGTTTTAACTACAAAACTTACAGACTGACCTGACACGTCAGTATAATGCCCTGAAAAGATAAATCACCATATTCAAGCTGTCAGGCCTGTTTGATCCCTAAACAGAAGTAGTCAGTAAGGGTGCCATTTGATGCCAATAGTTGTTTTACTTTTTTTCACTGGTTTTCTAAAACATAAGTGTTTCCACCACCAACCAAACAGCCAGATGCCTGCAAGCTGGACTCCAGTGCCTTAGGGAAAAGTCAGAGTTCCTGAGCTGTAAAGAGAACGTACTCTGTTACTCAGATACAGCTGTCTTATTAAAGTACATGGTGAGTGACTGCAGATGATGGTATCAGTGAATAAAATAGAAAATCTTATGGTATTCCTTCAAAGAAAATGTCTTCAGGGAACATTTTGTGATCTGCAGTCTAAGGTTGCTCTTTTGTTTCATTCTGAAGCATGCAGATGCTGGGTGGTTACTTCACCTACCTTAATTAAGATTCCATCACTGCAGACTCTTCTTCAAGTTAAAGAATGATTCCCTTAAAGTATGACCTTCGCATAAAAAATAATCCTGATTGTAATTCTCACAGAATTCAATGGAAAAACTGTCATCTAGGCTGAAACTGGACAGGTTCCTTTTCCCTTTTTCTCCAGTGCCATCCTTAAAATTCCTTAAATGTTCTTTAAGTGTTAATTTACTATATGAGAAACAGTATTTGCTGCCTTTTTCACGGTTCATGCAAGTTACAGGATTGCCTTTTTTTTTTTTAATTTCAAAAGCACTGATAGCTTTTAAGCTCCTTTTTACAGTTTTGATAATAATGACTTCTTTTTAAAGCAGAAACTTACCTTTTTATATGGCTGATTTCTAAATATCCTTAATAAACCATAAAGTTATGAGGATCTGAATATTAGAAAGTCTAAGAAACTTTTAATATACAATGGAATTGTACTGATGTCCATTCATGTTTCATATACCATAAGAAAGCTTAAGCATCTGCCACTGAATTTAATTTCTTCCACAGCTGCAAACATATGTAAATGCAAACAGAAAAACTGTTAAATGTTTCTGAAACATTAATGGAATGAGCCTCTTTTAAAGAAAATAAGAGCTTGATAGAGATCTAAAATCATGTGTTGTTGCTGATCTTTTGTGGTTAGATGAAGACTGAAAGGCCCCCTTAGTAAACCCATCTTGTTTACCAGTGTTATCTAATGTTGGCTACATAGCTCTATATAATCTGCTCATTCTCAGCTATTCACATTATTGACTTAAGTAGCTTAGTGCTGCCCCACTAAAGATACTTTAACTCCTTTAATGAGTGGTATTAGCAAAATTCATGCTGTTTGAGAATTTTTGTTTTATGTGGCTGTGGGAAGGAAATTAATAGCACAGTCAGTTCTATTGGCAAAATATAAACGTGCATTGTCTTTCCTGTTTTGTTCCAAATCCACGTTCTATTATAATTTCAGTACTATTTTCATTTTCACAGCAAAAATACCATTGTTAACTGTCTGGTGGCAACTGATATAATATTATATCACTGCACTTACAGCTTGTAAATATACATGTAAAGTATACGTATTATTAAATTTGTACATATAGTATTAAAATCAAATTCTGTTACTTCCAATGGAAGAAACAATTATCTGTCAGCCTTACACATGCTAATTTTATTAACTACCAGTTTTCCAATTATAAATCTGAGTTTTTCATTAATAAATCCCACCTAATACCTTACAATCTGATACAGAAATAATTATAAATTTTGCTGTAAGCACAGACCAAGATAATTGTACTCAGTTCTGTTTCCCTTGCTTAATAATTTTCATGTGTGGGCATCCAGTTCAGTAAATACATTAAGGAACAGGTGGCAAATTTTATGCCAAATTCTTCCCCTGCAGATTTTCTTGATGTAGGTCAGCTTACAAAATCTTGCTTCTTTTAGAGTTATTTCATTACCTAGTAGGCACAATATTAACCTACCATGATTGTCAGCAAAAATCAGCTCCTATGCTATACTGATATTTGTTATCCAATTGTAAGAAAATAACCAAGTAGCATATTTGTAGAAAATACACATGTCCATGTATCATGCATCCTTGCTTCTCTGCTTTTCAGTCTGAAAATATACTGCCTGAACAAGAATGTTCCCAAGATTTACTATGTACTTGTTCCTTTTTCCAAGCCTTAATTTTTAAGATAATTTAAAAGCTCATTTTTCCCTTCTCTGCTAGCAAAGTTGGTTGGGTGCTTTGACTGAGAAAACTTGCCTTTCACAGGAAGCTTTTGATTCGGCAAGTTGTGTTTATTGTGGGAAAGAACTTGTATCCAGTAAATTCAGAGATACGAGATTCATTCTTTCTACTGATAAAACTGCAACAAATAGTTAGGCAGCTCTTTTGACTATAATCTACCCTAAAATAATGTTTGAGCTAGAAATATGACCATAAGAACACCTTCATACTGTTTTCAGTAACAAACACACCATAGTATAAAAAGCTCTTTGTTTCCATTTGAAAAAAAATATGCACAATTACTAGTTATGCAAAACTCCTTATTTGTGTTTTTGTCAAATGAGAGACACTTTTCTCATTGGTAGTGTCCAAGACAGGATACCAATTAAAGATATTTAATGAATTGTTTAATTTGAAGCACTTTTCCTTCAGAGGGATGACTGAATTTCTGGAGCTTTTATAGACTCATTTAAAAAAAATTTGGTTGTTCTCATTTTTCAGGTGGAATTTAACAACTAAGAACAGATGGCAGAAGCAACTATCTTCCTGATTCTAGTACTGTCAAAATAAACTCAGAGGTTTTCCAGCAATAAATGTTTTGTCTGTACTGATCTCCAAGTCTCAGATTTTTAACCACTTTTTGTTTTCTATTTTTCTAAATTCTCCATGGTTTCATTCCTGACTGCACTCTGTGACAAGATTTTTCTTTCCTTCATGTTGACTTCCAATTTCATCTCCACAGTTTCACTCCAAGTATTTTATTCTTTTTTTGAGCACACATATACCTTGGAGCATCTCCTGTTCTCTTATGCCACTGTGCTAGGACACCAAAATCCCAACAAAGAACAGAAATCCTCTATAGAAATTGGTATCAACAGCTTCCCTAAACCCTTCATCATTTCTTGGCTGCCCAAGACTACTTTAGTCTGGGGAGAGAAGTTTATTGCTTTATAATGATCTTCAACATGACTCAAAAAGCTCTAGTGATTACCCTTTTTCATAAAGACAGATTTAATGCGAAGTATCCATATATGATTAATAGCATGATGGCTACTACATCTCTGAATATTACTCATTTTTGGTGAAATCATTCTGTTTTGTTCCCACTCCTTGTGAAGATACCAACAAGGAGCGGGAACGGTTTGGTTCATTTCAGTGCTGAGGGAGGTGTCAATTTATTCACACTAAGCAAATGTTATTTACTGCATTAGAGTCTCTCTCTAGCAGTGGCTTTGCAGATTTTTAGATGACTAGTGAGCAACAGAACATAAGGTGCCTGTGATACTCTCAGAGAAATGACCTAATTTTCTATCTATTTCTTGGTGCAAAAGTGTTTTCTGGTTTCTATCAAAACAAGCCTTCCATCTGGGTGAGCAGAACTGTCCATTTAAGTAATCATTCCATCTCCAGCACATATGTATCCATCCACGGAAAAATATTTGGCTCTTGCTAGTGTACTACTTGAGTTTTGTATTATCTGCAATCCATCTATTACCATGACCGATCTGAGAGACCTCTTGGGAAGGATTCAGGCAAAGAAGATGGTACTGGGCTGCTGGGCAGGTTATTCTGTGCAGCACACAGAGGGTCTGTTTCTGCCCTTACTGCTGTCCAAAACAGTGGCTTGACCACAGCCTACTAGGTATGCACTCATTCATTCCCTTACTCCCAGGTTCTGCAGTTTAGACAAAGCCAGAGAGATTCTTCCTTTCATGTAATGCCACACAGAAGAAATACATGCATGGGTTAGTGTGGGTGCTGGAAACATCTCTCCACCTTAGTGCAGTAATGCCTTCAGATTAATATATTTCGGTATAGCACCATGGCATTATATTATAATTAAGTGGCTTGCCTAAGGAAATCTGTGACAGAATAGTGATTTCCCAGTTCCTAGCTTAGACACTTATTGGGATGAACCAGTAAGTCTAACTGGTCTACCTTCTTATATGTCAAGGAGTCACATTTATAAGTCTTGCAGACAAAGCCAGCAATGGAAAACCACAGTTGAATTCTAAAATTATTCAGAAAAAGAGGGAAAGCTAACCATTGGAAGAAAATTGAGATAGCAGCACATCAGCATGTCTTGAGTCTTCATAAAGGTAGCCCCTCTTATGCTGCACTCCAGATTTTGCAGTTAATTCTGTTCAGCAATTCTTTGGCACATGATCATAAAAACATATGTTACTGGCTTACACTAAATAGTATTTTAAAATGAAATTAATAAAGAATGCTGTTGATTCTTTGTGAATAACTTTTTTGAGCTAGCAGCATTATTTAAGAGAAAAACATGGTTACCATGGCTTTATTGGAATGGCCTCCTCCTTGGAACTCAATGGTTCCAAAAGCGTCCGTCGGGCTGAGCTGTGTGTGCTTGCTGATGGACCACTTCTCCGACTGGATGTCATTGCGAGTAAGCCTGCTTTCATTTTTCTCATTCTGAATAACAGAGATGCTTGGAGTCAGTCCAACATGTTGACCTATTAGACGCCCACAGCAACACCTATGACATTAAACAAACAGAAAACTTCAGTCATGTGCATGTATAAACCAAACAGAGAAACAATCTTAAATGGCCTGCCACTCTTTAAAAGAAAGCCCAAACCTTTTCAACTCTGCTGACCAGTTTCTTGCTATACGAACTCTCTGCTTGTAGAAGCAACATACTACCTTTTCTTTCTATGATCTTGTTTACTTTGGATTTCCCTTTATTTCAATAAGATCATTCCGTTCTAAATATGCACAAAATTAAGGTAATACTTCCTACTGTCTTCAGCTGATGTAAGGCCAAATAAACAGTTTTTGCATGGAGTTGAATTTTAAGTTGGTAGTTCACAGCAATTATTTTCTTTTGACAGTATTGTGTGTCATGCATTTAAGTAAATACTCAAGCCACTGTATATTGAACTAAGAAGATAAGGAAATCAAACATAGATACTGATCCACCTTTGATTTCTTTGTTGGTTTGTTTGGTTTTTTTTAATAATTTAGGATGAAATAAGTTTTGAACTGACACTATTGTGTCTCTAGGAATCCATCACTCCAGATGTAATTCCACCACCTTCTGACCAAGTAAGTCTTTACAAACTATTTATCTTCATATACGTATATATGCATACATATATAGAGGCATTTTCTTGTAACTGACTTTCATTTGTCATACAAGTAGAATGCAATTACCTATGGGGGTCTTTGGTGCTGGGTATGATATGAACACATTCTCTCTTGTAAAATGCTCTTTCTATCCATGATTTCTGTGCCTAAAAAAAAAGGAAACACCATGAGCAATGTTGGCTTATTAAACACATTTCCTAGTACAACTGAAGTGAATCTACAAACATAAAAGAAAACTTCACAGATTTTGCAGATATGCAATGTACAGACATTCTGTAGAGAGCAAACATTTTCCATTGGAACTGCAGTTCCCTTCTAGAGTTAAGCACTCAACAAAAACTCTTAAAATTGTTCTCATATTCGCTAGCCAGATGACTTTGATGCTTGATGTCATCTACTGGCTCAGCAGGAATCACTGGAGAAGAACTGATTCAAACGGCAAAGATTTCTGCATGGAAAAAACACACCTATTCACTGAAAATACTGAAATCTATTTCCCTTCTAGTGATGAAACTAAGTCAAGTCTAATTAAAAAAATAATAAAAATCCTAGAAACTAGAAAATAAGTATCACACAATAAAACTTTTCATACCATAATACCAAAGAACTGAGAGTGTTTAACAAGGAGCCAGAAAACAGTTTCACAGGTGGACATGTTAATGAAAAAAAAAAGAAAAAAGAAAAAAGATCTGTTTCTGAAACCAGGCACAAGAAACTTCGATGTGTTAAGAGTCAGATGACCAGCTGATGTAACCTCTAAAACTGACTGAGTTCGATGAAGCTACACTCTGTATCTTCCCCCACATATTTGCAGGAAATCAAGTCATTCTTCTCAATGTAGTCTTAATTTTTGGATACACAAGAGATCTTTTTTTAAAAAAAACATGGATAGGAAAGAAAGAAAAAGAGACTTTCAGAGCTCTGAATTCTTTTTAGTTATCTAGATAGTTCTCACTCCATAAAATACAAATTCTGGCAAGCTCTCTAAAATATTTCCCCAGATAGAATTCAATTATTTCATTTAATAAGGACACAAGTTGAAACTTTCATTTAAAAATACATTTCAAACAGGTAAGTTTTAGATTGCGTTATAAAATTACCTGTTTGTTTGCACAGCATAAATAGAACTATGACAAATTTAACTGAAAGTTAAGTAACATGAAATGAGCTTTGGATAATTCAAAGAAAACCTGAGCATCTTTCCTCAGAAAATAGGAAAATGCCTTTATAACATTGCCTAATGTTACCTTTTACTATGTAAGGTTATATAGTAATCTATTTATTACCTTTACCAACTAAAGTTACCTTACTGAGTATCTACTGTTACCTTGTCAAATGAATCTCCATCCTGTTTTTCATGTTCAAACCCAGAAACTTAGCACAAATTATGTGCTAGGTTTTATTTATTGTTATTATTTATTATACCATAATAAGATTTTCTAGTTACATTCATTACTTATCACTCTGAGGACATAAAAAGTTATTCTTTTTTTCATTGAGCAGAATCCCTTACTGGATCTAGTGGTCACTCCTGTAACATAACAATATTTTATCTTTGCTCTACTTGTACTTTTATTTGAAATATTTGCTAGATTTCATGTTTTGTAGGAATGCAGACGCCCTAACATGACTTTTACAGTCAGGAAAAAGAAGTATATTAAAAACATTAAATAGAACTGCAGGCAATAATCATCATCAGTCATTATTATCATCATCTTTACAATATTTAATATTATGCTGTCAAACCACCTTAGAAGTCTAGTGTATCATTTAATAATTTGTTAACTTAGTAGTCTTTTCAGGCAAAGAAAGGCTTTTTATACCCTAACTTTCTAGAACTGTCAAGGCATCCAGAGTGAACCTTATGAACTTCATCTGACCCTCTTACTGCAGAGCATTTGAAGCTAAACTACATGGGAAAAATTAGGCTTTTTCTTTTTGTTGACTGTATAGAGAAAGAAAGGAGTTACAATTATTCTGATACTGCAGTGCTAACATTTGAAATCACATACTTTACTGTATGCACTCTTGAAACTTCTCTTCAAGCTCCCAGAGAATACAAACTTTATTACCTTAAGAACACATACTGATAAGAAGCAGCAGATTTATGAATCCCCTTTGGTGTGTGTATATATATATATATATATATATATATGTAAACTGTATATACACACAGTAACAAAAGGAACACACAGACAAAAGTGCATATATACAAACACGGACAAAAAAGGAAGACTTGTAGAATAATGGCAGTTTTATCTGCATGCTTGTTTAACACTAAATACATGCCTGCAACATCTTTTATCTTCTCTAGGACACATGAAAAGTTTTTCGAATACAATTTTTCTTCAGAATATCCAAAATCAGCTCCTACTGCAAAGCTCACATAGCATATGATTATCATTTATGTTGTCAAGACTCCCTAAAAATATCCTTGATTAAATTCCATAAATTTTGCATACTTTTCTGCAGTCAATTTACTTTGCTGAATTTACTTACTACACAGACCTAATACATCTTTCCTAAAGATGGCCATAATTCAATTTCTCTAAGCCTCAAGATCCATTACAAAAAGGTGCCACAGGTACTTCAGTAAAACACTTTTCCTTTAGGTATACAAGCACACTTTCAAAACCCAAGAAACTGACATTTAAAATTTGTTTTCCTACTCTTTTTCACACTGTCTTTGTAAGTAGAAAAGAAACCCAACTACCTTAAATATAACTTGCATTTGAATTTTCATCATACTTTTTCAAATGTAGTACTGCAAAAATAATAGTCTGAATTTAAAATGACCATTGTTCACACCAGAAAAAAAGATCTTCCAACTTCTATGTCTCAAAAAATATACTCTCCTACCTGACAGAATCATAATGCCAAAATACAGGATTTACTCTTTTCACAATTCCTTGCCCTTCCAAACTAAAAAGAAAGCATCTGGTTTCACTGCCCAATGCCATTATCATTCTGTGACACAGAAAATTTGAAATGAGTGCTCAGAGGTATAGAAATTATGTTACTTGTCCTAGAGTCTTCATAACAAAATTAGAATAACTTGTGGAAATCAACACATTCAAGACATAACAGTCTGCATCAAAGTCTTGTTTATAATGTGAATTAATAAAGTAGTAAAATGTTTAGAAAAAAAATAGCAAACTATTTTTTAAGAATAGCGGAGCAAGAAGCTTATCTTTTCTTATTTCATAAAAACTCCTTTTGCATTAATTCTTAAAACAACATAAACTCTACAATTAATCCCTAAAGTAAATGCCACACTTATACTAGGATTTAACTTACTTATAGCTCAGATCTGTAGGTTAAGTCTCTCTCTTTATTAACCTAGCTGCAAAATCCCACCAAGAACATTTTTCTCCCTCTTCTTTACCTGAGCATCAAACCTGGTGTTTAAGTCTGTCCAGAGCAAACTCTGCTGTCCGTATTTCCCTGTTGCTGGTCATTGTTAATAACACAGTTGTGAGCGCCCCCTGAACAATGCACTGAGTCCATCCACAACACAGAGATGTGAGAGAGACCGAAGCCCTTGTGTCCATTAGTTGCTTGGAATGTGCTGCTGTGGGATTAGCCTCATTAAGGGTTCGGTGGATGCTTACCCGAGCCTCACAACATCACTTGGTTTGAACATCTAATCTGACGCCAAAAGAAAAACAAATCCCCTGAGAGCTTGGATTTAACTGGCACAAGCCTTGATGGGCTTTTTTCCCCTCCTCTTCTTTCCCTCCTAGAGAGTGAGCTTGCGAAAGTGTGATAAGGTGCTCTGAGTTCTTAAATTCAATCCAGGAAAACAAATCCTTCAAAAGAAACAGTGTACTAAGCTGGAAAGAACCTGAGCACACAAGAGAAGTTGCTAATCTCCAAAGAATGAAACCACTGTGTTTCTTGGGTAATTGCAAGAAATCTATGCACAGTCAAAATATGTTGCAATTAATCAACAATGGCATTTTTCCAGAGAAGCTGTGGTTTCTTGTTGTTTTTCAACACAGTTGCTGTACTGTAGTGAATGTAACTTTTCAGAAAGTCATAAACATAAACCTTTGTCTTTCAGAGACAAGCAACTGCATTATTTTCAGCTTAATTTAAAGTTAGTAACTTAAAAAGCAACTTGAATGTTTACAAATTTGGAGACTACTTCTTTACTGTACCCTCTTGATATCAACACTGAAGAATAACCTTTCCCCATAAATAACACTTAATTTTTTTTTATTACATAGCAAATATATATGTGTTCAAATACTTACTTCAGGAGTTTTTCCAACATAAAATAGTTTTACTCCCCACCCCAATTTCGAATGAATTCCTCTCTACTCCTACATATGCATACATACCCTCCTTTCCTTTTAGTAAGGTTGCATGTAATGCATGGAAAATATGCTGTTCACCCTTCTCACTGATCTATACACAAACACTAAATTATTCTGTATGTACTTTAGCTCTGACGGGCTAGGATGGGCAAGACTCAGCATACGCATTAACTTCTAAACTTCTTATACCATAGCACGTGTTGAGAAGCTTCTGCTAGGCTGGTTGATCCATGAGATTTTTTTCTTTCTTGGTTCCTTGTGGTTTTGTGTAAAATACTTACACATACTTTTTATGTAAATTATATATGAGGTATGTACATATACTCATTCTGTCTGCATATATATGTATATATACATTCTTTTCCGGCAAAGCTGTGAGATTTCTCTACCACACAGTTCAGAGCAACAGAGACCATGTGCACATCTTGTGGTATTTCTTTAGCACAGGATCAGACCAAAGATGGTTGCTGAAAAAGAACAGCAAATGCAGAGAAAGTTGCATTGCCAAGGGAGCAGCTAGTAAACAGCTCAATGAGACAAACAATATGAGTGGGGAGTCAGCAAGAAAAGACTGCATGTTAACACAAGGAAATTTGGTTGGTTTGAGAGGGTGGAGAAAGAGTGAGGGGAGGAAAGAGATTTCACACGACTGAGATAACTGAGTAAAAACCCAAATCTGACTTTGAAGTGAAACTTCAGTTCTTGGACTTGACAAGATTTTAAAGATTGTTCCGGATTCGGCTTTCAGCTTGCAAAGTAACCTGGGCTGAAGCTGCATCTTTCACCCTGATACATCAGGACAAGAAACAACATTTATTTATTCATAT